TCGGAGATAGAGCACGAAGAGTAGATGGAAATGTTATTGATACGATGCGGAAGAACTACGCGAGAAACTCTGTCAAGAGTATCTTGATTCGAATTCTGATTTCAGGATTGATTTGGCACAAAATTCACTGCTCTCAGCAATTCAATACATATGATCGTTATTCGATAAAATAGATGCAGATATAGAGGATTCTTCTTGATAAAACAACGCAAAAGTTTTATTATACTGTATTTTTAAAAATTTTATTTGCTAAAAGTTTTAAAATCCTTTTCAGTCAAAAGTTGTGATGACTTGTCATAATTAATTTCTTTCAAACAGAAAAGAATATTATCTTTTTATTAATTTCTTTAATTACTTATATATTGAATTCTATTTTTTAATTATATTTAAAGAACAATTAATTAAAAAAATTAATTTTTTTTTTTAAATTTATCTTATATGGTTTTTATTTTCTTTTATGTATATGAAGTATAAATATATTTAAGCAAATAAAAATTTAAAAAAGTAGAAATATAATAAATGCTTTTATTTATATTATTTATATATGTTTTATTTTTTGTTATCTTTATTAAGATGATTTTTTAATAATGAAACTATGGCAATTGTAACTTGTGTAAATTTTTCTCGCCCTGCATCTTGTTAAATTTTAAAGTCGAATTAGGCATCGCTTGCGTAACTTCAATCACCTTCATGCATTTAAATTGCCTGTCTGAGCATATTCGCACGCGTTAACACATGTTCGGTTCTCTCTACGCATATACATTTAAATCGCCCTCATTTTATTGGCATATTTATTATATAACATCTTCATAAGAAGGATATTATACTAGTAAACATCATTTATGGTTACAATATTTTTAAAAGAATATAAAATGTGAAAGAATTTGAAACATCTGTTGAGGAGACAATTTAAATCTTTTATGCTTTTATGCTTTTACATTTATATCATTCAGAATGTTGAATCTACGTGGTCTCGACTCTATTCAATATCTTTTCCAAATTTAATACCGATTTTTCTTTGAAAAGATTGACATATTTATTATTTTTTAAATTAAACAATTAATTATTCATAAATACTAATTCAAGAGAAAAAAATTAAAAGGATTAAAAAATCTAATTAAAAAATGTTTCTCATTAAATTAATTAATTAAAAATAAACCCAAATTCTAAATTAAAAGAAATGATTCTAACTAAAAGGAAATAAAAGATTTTGAAAAAAAAGAGAACGAATTAATGTCATACTTTGTATAAAAAAAATTCGAAATCTTAATAATTTGCGGTTGGATTGTGATTTTCTCATATCATCATATTTCTGTTATATGTAATGTCGTTTCTGACGTTAATTATTCAATGGAACACACCACCGTGTTCAGACATGCGGTCTCTCAAGTTTAATTGTACGAATAATTGGACGCCGTATATATATGGCACCGTGCAAAAGCCAATAACAGTCAAAGAGGTTGCGCCGACACGGGACGAGTTCGATTGCGAGAAAGTCGAAGCATTTTTTAACAAAGAAGAACCTCTTGAGCGTAAACTGGAACGCGAAATTATTCTTAAAATAACAAGAATACAGTTAGGTTGCTCATTAAAGCTTTGCCTCGTGCAATCAGAGCGAATTTAGGAACGGAACTGAGAACCGATCAATCAGTAACGTATTAGACGCGTGCGCCAGAATTGCACTCGTTAAAGTAAAATTGAAGAATATGTATAACTCCCAAAATACTTTAAAATTTTCAGAAAAGTTTTAAAGTTAAAAATATATTAATTTTTAAAAAATAGAGGATATATTATTTTTGTAATCTTTTTAATAATTATAAAAATAAATATTT